TAAAATGCATTTTTGAACTTGAATACTGTTTTTATTCTCAATATATTCTTAGTAATTTTAACACTATGAAATGTGATTTTGTCAATCGATATATCTGTGCACGCATAATTTTTTGTCTTGAATAGATCCAACCCACAAAAGATGAGAATTTTCGTCATAACTCATACCCCAAGGGCCCCATATACCGTGTTCTGTTGTCAATAGCAAGCGAAGAAATGTGCCATCCTTGTCAATCATATGCACTGTGCTTAAGCTTTGGTTAGCTATGAGGATGTTTGACAGTGGATCTGTACAAATATCAGTTGCTTCTAGTTTCAGTCGGGGGTCATTTTCTGATCCATAGTAAGTAAAGCGATGACATCCATTTTGATCTGTCACAACTAGACGTGATGATGGCCCAAGAAGGATATCATGAATCAGGTCAAAAACAATAATATCCCCGTTTCTGTTTTCTGAGATACATTCAGGGTCAATATAAAGATTATTACCCTTGTCATCAAACTGGACGGTCTGTGTTTCTTCTAATCCATTAAATCTAACAATTTTTGTCTCTACATCAACAACTCCAGATGACGGGATGTAATTTTTCATCAGAACAAGCATCTCTCCAGATAACTGATAACAGTAAATTTCCTGAGGAATCCATGTTTCAGATTTATTCATTAATGTAATTTTCGTTTTGTTCTTACAAAATTTACAGATATTTAAATCTACATCTATGTATATAAGTTCTCCGGCAAGGCTCACTGTGTGGGAACCAGGACTTAGGTTTCGTTCATCTGTCCGATGCATGATTTTCATCATTGGAATCGGTTTCTTTTTTATAAATGATAAACATTTAACCGCTCTGTTTGCTGAGTTTTCAAATCTGCGTACATATATTTCTATCATTTTGATACTGTGTCTAGATTGTTGCAATTTCGAGTTGATATAAAAGTATGCCTCTTTTGAATTTTGTAACGTATTATCTATTAAAATCTTTTGTACTTCAGCTGATGAGGCCATTTTTAGTGAGAGTTCAGTCAAAGCCATTTGACACGCTTGAAAATCAGATTTAATTCCAGATAAGAGTTCGTGATTGTAAAGAAGCAATTCGCTCCTGGTATGAACAATTCTGTCCCAGTGTTGCTGTCTTTGGTTTTTATAGGCAGACATAATGTCCAGAAGTTCATGTCCTACATGTTCATTAGAAAAGTCGCAAACTGGGCATTCGCAGGACTGACGCCAGTATGTTTATGTTCTCTCTGGGTGTTCCCTGCAATGCTCTGTTAGTATAAGCTCCTCTTTATCTGAATGGTGAATTAAAACATCATGATATTTTGTGTCGAAATCAAACATATGTCTCTCTTTACATTTAACACACAGAAAAAAATTACACACATCGCAGTACATTTTATCTCTCACGTACCCATTACAAAGAGTACACTGTGTTTCCTTTAATTTTATAAGTAATTCACCCATGATGTTTTTCTATTCTTCTCAGAGGATACTTTTGACGCATGAAACTTTCCAATTCGTATTTGTTTGTTTGCTACGGTGCTATCTAAATAAGAGAAATACTTATTGTTAGTTATTATAATAGCAAAACAATTTCATATGACATGACGACAAAATACGCAAAAGAAGAATTCAAAGCAGGAAAAAAAAAAGATTTATAAAGGCCAACATTGATAATGTAACAAATGAGCAGAGGCAACGAGGACGTCTGAAAACAAAAGCGAGATCAGGAGTCAATGAGAAGTTAACATCCCCTGTCAACTTTTTGCTCTTTGGTGTGATCAGGTAAACGCAAAATTAGTAACGTTAGGACCTCACAAATCGAATCTAGACGTCAGTCGAGACTCATTTAAACGACATATTGTATATTTTATTGCATCGATCATATATACATAGTATATATACCATTTGAAAAATGTTATCTCTAAACAATGCATATTATATTCTTGAGACATCACTTATTTTGTCAAAACTTCCCTTGTTTAAGAAAGTCTTAAGTTTGTTCCTAAAACATTCAAACATTCCATTTCATCACGGTCTAAGCGACCACGAGACATATAAACTCCATGCAGGCGAAAATAGTATATGCAAAATAAATAAGGGAATTGACAAAAGAAAAGATGCAATCACTTATCTGAAAATTTATTTATTTTCTGATGCTATAATATTGTTGTTCTCAAGTTGAATATTCAAATATAAAACAGATGTGTCACTCTCTGTGGTAGCTTTCATTTCGAATTCTATGGGGTTTATCAATGCAGCATAGGAAAGAAATTGAACAAAATGAAGTTCAGAATTAAATCCTTTTCTTCACGAAGATGGTTTTGAATCCCTTCAAAATCGTAAGTAATAAAAAAAAACCTGTGTGTTTATTCTGTATTTATTAGACATGTATTTCAATAAACATTCCGGTAAGAAAAGTACGAATTGATTTTAAAGGGAAGTGTTTATTTTGAGAGGACTTTACAAATTTCATAAGGGCGCAAGTTTAAGACAATAAATATGAAAAGTTTTAGGTTAACCTTTTCATTGATATACAATTTTCGTCATATATTATGAAAAAGTGCACCAATTAGGAAAGTTGTGTTCACTGTACAGTTTCGAACATGCATTTGTATAAATTTCAAGACATAATCATTTTGAATTTCCCTTTGAACGATATGTTTAAACTTAAACTTATGCTTAGACAAAGGATCTCCATTCTAAGTATATTGGCTCGATTCCCACATAGCATATCATTATCATCATGGATCATTCTTTAAATTTCATTAAATTGGTAAGTATTATACTTACCTAATCTCACCAGTGTTGTAACGAGATAGGTTTCATAGTTTTTATTTATCTGAGAAACGTCACCACAGGTATTTTGAATGACAATTAGCTAGATCGATCAATGTAAAAAAAAGTTTAAATTTAAAGTCTACATGATTCGGATCATAGGCTGTACTATAGACGGATCATTAATGTTTTTCTCTGCACATTTAGACAGGCAATATGATATATATTTTTGTTGCACATAATTTCATTGATTAAATGATTGTATGTTGTTTTACGTTCTGTTTGTAAAGAACCCACAACTTTCACTTTAATGCAGTGATTCAAAAACCAAGAGAAAAGTTACTGGATCTGTTACACAAGAGACATCCTGTGGTAGTCCGGCCGGAGAGCATAGAAGAATTACTAGTAAACTACTTATAATGACTGAGACTAGATCAAGTCATTCTTGGAATATTTCACCGAATAACGGGAAATTATGAGGCTGCTTTGAAGAATACATATCAACAATCTCTTTCAGTGAATCTCTTAAACAAAATTCAGGCCATCCAAATCCGAACAGAAGATTTAATAGTCAATATAAATCACAACAGAATAATAAGGATGATGTTATATCTTTAGATTTTCCCGTTTTCCCGATCTTCACAAGCAGAATGCAGAGTCCCCATTATGTGGTCATCAAAAACTATATACTTATATATGTACTTTTCCATTGTTTAAACATCCATCCCTGCGGATCCCATGGAGAAAGAACCACTACCTTTGGATTTTCAGATTCTACCTAAACCTGGTTTCATGATGAGAAGATATTTACTACTAAAATGTTGTACTAAAAAAGGCTTAAAAGCTTCAGTCAAATACATGTAAGTCGATATTTCAGGGTTGTTTATAAGAGAATGCATCTCGAATATTATATGACTTTGTTTGCAACTGCAACATATATAATTAGATTGTAATGTTGTTACACGAATTGACACTCCTGGGACCGTTTTACATACACAGTGTAGAACTTACGAGTAAGAGCAGTATTCAATTATACTTGTATCCTTTTAATTTACTTTATATTGAAATCAGTATTTATCTTTTTCAAAAGAATATAGAATGTATAATGTAGTATATTCTTTTTAATGCTATCAATATTAAACAAAATCATTTATTTTACAAAACTTTACAATTAATCAATTCAAGTTTTCGGTCTTAGTCATTCGTTCTTTTAAAATGAAAAAGAGCTTCTGATCAACAAAGATGTTTTGCTTTGAATATCCCTGACAAAATTACTATAATACATGTGTATTTCATATTAATTTTAAACGTTATACAGAGTGATTCTGTCTTTCGATATATCTGTACACACACAACCTGTTGTCTTTAATAGATCGAACCCACAGAAGATGAGATTTATCGTCGTAACTGAGACCACATGGACCACTTAAACCGTGTTCCGTTGTCAGTAGCAAGGAAAGGAATTTGCCATCTTTGTTAATCATATGCACTGTGCTAGGATTTTGGTTAGCTATAAGGATGTTTGACAGTGCATCTGTACAAATCCCCCACATATCTAGTTCCAGTCGGGGGTCGTATTGTGATCCATAGTAGCTGAAGCGATATCTTCCATTTCGGTCTATCACAACTAGAAATGATCGTTCAAAACTAAGATAGCTTAACCTATCGGAAACAATAATATCTCCGTTTCGGTTCTCTGTGATATGTTCAGGGTCATAATAAAGTAGACAACCCTTGTCATGAAACTGGAAGGTCTGGTCCTTTTCTTTTATTCCCTTGAATCTAATCACTTTACTCTCTTTATAATAGGGAGCAAATAACTGGCTGTACTGGGGGTCTTTTTTCATTAAAAGGAGCAAATTTCCGGAGAATTGAGAGCAAAAAATTTCGGACGGTTCCCAAAATTCAGATTTTTTCGTCAGTGTTATTTTTGTTTTGTTATCCTTACAAAGTAAACATAAATTAGAATCCAAGTCGATGTAAATGAGTTCTCCAGCAAGGCTTACTGTTTGTGAACTAATACTTTGATTATCTGTTCGATGATGTAAAATATTACCAGTAGAGTCTATCAGAAAGAGATCAATGCCGCCACCACTCACCCAGATCCGGTCTGACGTCACAAACGAAATGCAAGTACTACAACTAGCTCCAGGAACGGTGAAAGTTTTTCGTAGCACTGGTCTAGGCATTATTTTCAGAAGTTTATCATTTTCTAAATGTCTTTTTCAGACCTCAGCGAGTTTGATTTTCCTTTGAAATAGACCTACGTCTTTCATACTGATTTCATGTTTCAGGGAGACTGTTAAAGTTTTAGGAATGTCCTGTTTCCTCGGAACAGATTTCTTTTTTATAAATATTAAAAAATGTACTGCTCCGTTAGCCGAATGTTCAAATCTGAGCACGTACTTCTCTAGATCTTTAACATTTTGTTTCGATTGTTGTAATTTAGAGTTGATATTAAAGTAGACCTCTTTTGTATTATTCAAAACCATATCAATCAGATTTTTTTCTCGTTGAGCTTGTGATAACATTTTTATCCGGAGTTCAGTCAAAGCTATTTGACACGTCTTGAAATCAGATTCAATTTTGGCTAAAATGGCCTGGTTGTAAAGAAGTTTTTCGCTGCGAATCTCAACAATTTTCTCCCAGTGTTGCTCTTTTTGAATTTTATAGGCAGACGTAATGTCCACAAGTGTGTGTCTTTCATGTTCATTATAAAAGTCACAAACTGGACATTCACAGGATTGACACCAGTATAAATATTTTCGGTCTGTGTGTATCTTGCAAGACTCTGGATCTGGTATCATCCATCCACCATCCTTTGTTGGGTGAATGATCTCGTGGTATTTGGTGTCCAGGTCGATCACGTGCTTCTCTTTACAAGGAACACACAAATAAAATTGACAGGTCTCGCAGTACATGTAGTTTTCCATGTTACCCATACATAGAGAACATGGTGATGCCTTAAATTTTGAGAGTAATTTACCCATGATATTCCTTTCAAATGATTTTTTTGCGCAGGAAATCTCCCATTCTTTAATTTTATTTTTCGCGTGTTATGCGATCAAAATCAGCTGTAAATAGAAGAAATAATTTTTTAATGACATGACCTATTTTTTTATTATATTTTTTTTTGTATATAAAATGCCATTATAAGAACAATTTTATTTACTTCTTTATATTGAAAATGAAACTGATACTGTATTAAAATTCAATTCTCTTTACATGGGCCGGTGTTTGAATACCTGTATTTATAACACGTGTCACTACATGTATAATAAATGACTTACAATATGAACTTACTTTCTTACAAATGAATAAACATGTAATAACCATGCATCCGCTTATATTTTAAAAAGGTGCAGACAAATTTGTAAGTGGATATCACAATCTTGTCTACCATATTGGTGATACTAGTAACGTGCGCATTTTGGTGTTTTGCGTTATATTTTAAACGAACATATTACAGTGTATACGCTTGACTATATGATCTTAAGACCTCAAACATCCACTGTGAGAACTTTTTGTAAAGGTGGATGACATTTCTTAGCACACGAGATCAGGGGCCCGTTTCACAAACGTTTCCTAAGATATGTCGTAAGACATAACTTAAGATATGCCTAAGTTATAACTTAGGAAGTTCCTAAGATTTGTCACAGCTGTTTCACGAAACAATCTTATCTTATTTTTTTCCTAAGTCGTTTCTTAAGTTGTGTATAATTTAAAGACTAACGAAATAACCTCTCCGCTCTATCTACAACTCTCAGTATGTTAGTATGGGTTATATTTTTAGCTTCAAAATGGGAGGGGCGGGAGTATTGGGGATTACCCCCGCTTTCAAAGGACTGGGACAGAAGTATGTTTTAACTTTGCGAAGTTTGCTGGTAGAACTAAGCATTCACAGAAACACCCTTTCAAGCCCTCTTCCCTTCCGGGCACCCGATATTTGTATTTTTTAAACATTGTTTTACGTGTTATACGTTTAATTTATTTTGCTCTTTATAAGGTATCTAATTGTAAATGAAATTCAAAAATGATTGCTTCTTAGCGAACACGTGCACATGTGAGGGCATTCTTAAAAAAAATATTTGCCAGTGATACTCAACGTTAGTTATTCGTGCTGTATAAAGCTTTCTCAAATATATAAAATAAGAATGCCACACCAGAAAAAAAAGTCCCAAATTCGTGACTACAGATATGAAAATACTAAAAGGAAATCTATTGAAATCTCATGCATAGCTAGCTATACATTGTATTATGCGGAGAGGAAGACTGGTTGTAATCTCATGGTCGTAAGAACTGACGGAGCACAGGAGGGGGGGGGGGGTGATAATAATTTTACCAATATATAGAAAACAAAACTGCGTTATGCTTGTGTCCCCTCAATAATAATGTGCTAGAGGAGATTAGATGCAACCATTTTTGAGAGAAACATCTATATATCTGGAGCTTGGCTGGTGGTTCATTAAAAATCATGTACTTATAGAAAGTGCACAAGTGTTTCCATTTATCTAAAATATCATTTTTCAAATTGGAATTTAATATTAATTAAAATAATAGTAATATATAAAAGAAATATACATGTACATGTAGATAAAAACATACTGTATATATGCATGTATAATAATGGATCAAATCATGTGCTATTTTTTTGTTTACAAAGGCGTGCTCTTCAAATGATGGGGAATTATTCCAGCATGTGTAGGTCTATTACGCCGGCTCCAGTTTTGTGAACGGACATTTTAATATACCTTGGACTAATTTTGACACCTGTCTGCCAATTATTGAAATCCTAGTACTAAGTAATTTCATGCAAAGTAAAGCAGTTTTAACCCGGAGAGAACGTAATCATCCATATAGTAGTAGTCCATTGGATTTTCTCTCCCAAAACACATTCTTTCTCTCCATAAGAAATCTCAGATATGAAGCCGCAATATTATGTTTCTTCCTAAGTCATCGATTTACCTGTCCTAAAGTTACGACATAACTTAGGAATATCCTAAGATAAGACGAGGTTAGTGAAACGGATAAGTAATGAACTTAGGAAAAAGTTCTTTCCTAAGATAGAACTTAGTCCTAAGTAGGCTTTGTGAAACGGGCCCCTGCTTTATAAGGCTATATATGCAAACCTGAAAATACATTTATATGCGAATATTGTGTATACTGACCTACTTCGAAGGTATTCTTCCTGATTGCAATACTACCAACCAATTTTTAAGGTTTCGTCAAAGTCAAAATTTTGAAAAAAAATCATATCTTAAAATGTATCAATACTTTGATGAATATATAACATATGCACATCAATATCTTTCTTATGAATTACAGATTATAGATTTAATGGAATAAATGCAAAAAAAAAAATGTCTTTTAGCAAATACTAACCTTAAAAATAGTCCATCTTTGAAAAAATCATTCTTTCTTCTTAGTCCTTTTATTTTCTCCCTCGTTTCACTCCTCCGCAAATATTTTCTTGACTAATTTATTGAAAAACAAAGACAAGAGGCCCATGGGCCACATCGCTCACCTGAGTAACTTGGGTGATGAAGTTCTTTACCCAATTTCCCCTCTTGCTATACCTATCATGCCCCCCCACTACCCACTCCCCTTTCATGATTTTAATACTTTAGAATCTACACTAGCAAGGATGCTTTCACATAAGTTTCAGCTTTCCTGGCCAAGTGGTTTTTGAGAAAAAGATTCTTAAAAGATTTTTCCTAATTTATCTATGTAAAACTTGGATTCCCTATTGTGGCCCCGCCCTACCCCTGGGGGTTATGATTTTAACAATTAAATATCTACTCTACCCCAGGATGCTTCCACATAAGTTTCAGCTTTCCTGGCCCAGTAGTTTTTGAGAAACACATTGGATAGGATACACATAGGATTCCCTATTGTGGCCCCGCCCTACCCCCCGGGGGTCATGATTTTAATAATTTAATATCTACCCTACCCCAGGATGCTTACACATAAATTTCAGCTTTCCTGGCCCAGTGGTTCTTGAGAAGAAGATTTTAAAAGATTTGTTCTATATATTTCTATGTAAAACTTGTATTCCCTATTGTGGCCCGCCCTACCCCCGGGGGTCATGATTTGAACAATTTAGAATCTACACTACCCCAGGGTGCTTCCACATAAGTTTCAGCTTTCCTGGCCCAGTGGTTCTTGAGAAGAAGATTTTTAAAGATTTGTTCTATACATTTCTATGTAAAACTTGAATTCCCTATTGTGGCCACGCCCAACCCCCGGGGTCCATGGTTTTAACAATTTAATATCTACACTACCCAAGGATGCTTCCACATAAGTTTCAGCTTTCCTGGCCCAGTGGTTCTTGAGAAGAAGATTTTTAAAGATTTGTTCTATACATTTCTATGTAAAACTTGAATTCCCTATTGTGGCCACGCCCTACCCCCGGGGGTCATGATTTTAACAATTTAATATCTACACTACCCAAGGATGCTTCCATGTAAGTTTAAGCTTTCCTGGCCCAGTGGTTCTTGAGAAGAAGATTCTTAAAGATTTGTTCTGTATATTTCTATGTAAAACTTGAATTCCCTATTGTGGCCACGCCCAACCCCTGGGGTCCATGGTTTTAACAATTTAATATCTACACTACCCAAGGATACTTCCACATAAGTTTCAGCTTTCCTGGCGCAGTGGTTCTTGAGAAGATTTTTAAAGATTTGTTTTATACATTTCTATGTAAAACATGAATTCCCTATTGTGGCCACGCCCTACCCCCGGGGGTCATGATTTTAACAATTTAATATCTACACTACCCAAGGATGCTTCCACATAAGTTTCAGCTTTCCTGGCCCAGTGGTTCTTGAGAAGAAGATTTTTAAAGATTTGTTCTACACATTTCTATGTAAAACTTGAATTCCCTATTGTGGCCACGCCCAACCCCCGGGGGTCATGGTTTTAACAATTCAATATCTACACTACCCAAGGATGCTTCCACATAAGTTTCAGCTTTCCTGGCCCAGTGGTTCTTGAGAAGAAGATTTTTTAATGACCCCACCCAATTTTTGTCTTTTCTTGATTATCTCCCCTTGTAAGGGAACTCGGTCCTTCATTTTTACAATTCAAACTCCCCTTTACCAAAGGATGCACTGTTAAAAGTTTGGTTAAAATTGGCCCATTGGTTCTTGAGAAGAAGTCGAAAATGTGAAAAGTTTACAGACGGACGGAAGACGGACGGACGGACAAAATGTGATCAGAAAAGCTCACTTGAGCCTTCGGCTCAGGTGAGCTAAAAAAGAATATACTGTAGGATTGTTGCGTTCGTTACAAATCGCATTTTTATTAAAAACATACAAATCAAACTACATGTAATAAATTTTACACGATAAACAATGCAAGGGCTGGGTGGGCAGGGAAAACCAAAGACACAAAACAACCTGCGATTCTTTGTAACGAACGTCGCATTAATCGAACATTCCCTGGTTAAAGTATTTATAGTGAGCGCTAAATCGCTCGTGCATGAAAAACCAGTTTCTTAAGAAACGAAGTTTCACGGAGAATACCGAAGTAAAAACGTAAAGAAATAAATTTATTTTCTCCCTCGTTTCACTCCTCCGCAAATAAATATTTTCTTGACTAATTTATTGAAAAACAAAGAAAAAGAATATACTGTAGGATTGTTGCGTTCGTTACAAATCGCATTAAACAAAGGACAGTAGGTGCAATAAATTAAAATAAATTTATAATCCAAGATTCATTGAAACCAGAATTTTACGTTCAAAATTGTCTTTTATATAACCGTCTTTGGCTTTATCCTTGACCCACCGACCATGTATTTTAAGCAATCGAACAGACACATTATCATTAGCAGCGGCTGTAACTCCGCAGCTACGTAAACTGTGTAAAGAATATTTAGAACTGTCAAGGCCAATTTCATTTAAAGAAGACAACAATATTTTCCTAGCTCTTGTATATGACAGAGGTTTGAGTTAATTTGAAACTTTGCATTTATTGAGGGATTTACAAAATTTACATCTGTAAACATGTAATCATTGGAAGACTTATCCATCTCAGACATGACGATGTTTAACCAAAACACAGGACACAAATCGTTTCCCGTTTTTGCGTATATCACCGAATTTCCTCTCCTGTAGATATCCGTTTTGCTTCTGGGAATATCAGTTTCGATGTGAGCACTTTCCCAATTGGTATCACATAATCGAATATTTCATACCAGAAAAACACAATAAACACATCACAAAGGAACTTATCCTCACATGGGTACAAGTTTGACGAAAATTCATGAGTCCGACTTATACTGTAGAAATACGCTTCCAGAAACGACGTTGATACCCTCTGTTGCACCAAACCTCCCACAAAAAGAGCGACAGTAGACACTGATGCAGGAGGAGGCGTAAATGAATGCTTCGAACACCAGTCTCTGAATTTAGAGAAATATATGTCGTAGATCTTGTTCGTTGACTGAGATTTTGTATTTCTCACGATATGCGGCAAAGACTCCACTATGTAGCTAAAAGGAAAATCGACTTTAAACTTGTCAATATTTATCCATTGGCCTTGATAATTCTCCAATGTCTGAAATATATATTAACATGAAAGCACATTAAAATTCAAACCAAATTTGTACAGTAACCAATAATAGCCACGATATTATATCACACATATTTACAAGCAACTTTTTCATCAAAATCATAAATTGGAGAGGAGTCCTCCATGATTAAAAATCAGTCATCAAAATACTAGTATATGATTTTCAGAACCAGCATGTTAGATTATAATCTTATATTAGTATTGCAATCATTCAAATCTAGGAGAGCAGTCCTCCTTATTGGATAACAGTCATCCAATCATTTCATTTCAGTATGCATGCATATTGTACACTGGTTAACAGTCAACCTTTGTGTACTATTCTGTTCATATTTCACGATCAAAGCATGCAAATGAACATATAAATATAGTGTTCAACATCATAAATAGGAGAGCAGTCCTCCATGATTAAAAATCAGTCGTCAAAATACTAGTATATGATTTTCAGAACCAAAATGTTAGATTATAATCTTACATTAGTATTGCAATCATTCAAATCTAGGAGAGCAGTCCTCCTTATTGGATAACAGTCATCCAGTCATTTCATTTCAGTATGCATGCACATTGTACACTGGTTAACAGTCAACCTTTGTGTACTATTCTGTCCATATTTCACGATCAAAGCATGCAAATGAACATATCAATATAGTGTTAAAGTGACTTAATTACGAAGCATCCAATCCCAGTGCTATAGCATTACTGATTAATTTGTAAATACTCTTAATCCTTATTGGATAGCAGTCATCCAATCATTTCATTTCAGTATGCAATATTGCATGCACATTGTACACTGGTTAGCTGTCAACCTTTGTGTACTATTATGTCCATATTTCACTATCAAAACATGCAAATGAACATATACATACATCTGTATGGTGTTACAATGACTTAATTACGAAGCATCCAGTTGCGGTGCTATAAAATTACTAAATGTTAGCAGCAAATACGTTATTTTTATCAGAACATGAACTTTTTTTTTTTTTTTTTTAATTTTTTTTTTTTTAATATCTTTCACAAACCACAAGAACTTTCATTTTTTGTCGATCAAAGAAGACCAAAAAGCTGCTGAATTCCATTTCGGAACGATTAAGGCGCCATATACACTGTAGAACCGTAATTTAATACATGTAAATGTTTTAGTGACCTCCCTATCAAATTAATAAATGGGAGGAACAATCCAAATCCTGTGACCAGTCGAAAGAAAATGCGTCGAATGCGCTTGTTCCATGGATCCTAAACAAAGAAAAAATTGTTTATTTATTTATTTTTTATTTTATTATTTTTTTTTTGGACATTTTTTCAATTCGCAAAGAGATATCGCAAATATAACGTCCCCAAACCTTATTGAAAAATGCAACAATATAATTGCTTATGCGCCAAGCGACAAAGTTTGCTTCCACTTTTTGCTCTAGTGAAACCCAACCTACAGAAAAAATGAATATAGTAAAAACAAAAGATAATAAATCCGAATTCATTGTGCCGATCTGCGAAATTCTACATTTAACATGTTTTGATTGTGTATATGTAGTTTTACAAGTTTTATTATCTAAAAAAAAAAAACCCAAAAATTTTCACGAACATTTCAACTGTTTTAAGTTCTCTAAAAGTTGAACTTCGAACTCTCTCTGGTTCGGCCCACATAACATGCAAAACTTTCTTAGTCGAATCTAACATCACTCCACCCCCATCAAAATCACTAGCATCAGTAAAAACAATGCGTTCCGTATGCGATACCGTGGGGAAATAACCCTGGCGGGAATATATATAGGCTCTAGCTCACACCTTACGAGCAGTGGAATTCTAATATTTTCATCCCAACATGATGCATTAGCAATAAACATTGACAGTTTGTTTGTTTGTTTGTTTGTTTTTTAATATCATTATCTTGCTATACAAAACTTTCTTATTTATGTCGAGGGATACCAATAAAACCGACTTCTTAAATCCACTCAAAACCGAACCATTCTAACTTTGCATAGGACTCTTACTTGTAGCATCAATAATAAGAAAACCGGCATGCAACAAATCTTTCTGAATATTCTGTAAAGATAAAATACAGTTTTGTTTGGAATCGCAATCCCAGCCATCGTCTAAATACATTAAAACTCCATATGCTTTAGCTCTCCAATACAATTCTAGTGGTCTAAATACTTTAGTAAAATATAACCAGCACTATTGAGACCGAAGGGTAGGACTGTGAATACGAAATAACGCTTTGAGCCATTGAAGTTCCAGGTTAAATTTACATGATGTTAAACACTTGTTAAATAATATTTGATCATGAATAAACCTTTTTGGCAAAATTGAGATCCTCTGAAGACCCCTCGAATTTGAAAATTTCTCTTTAAAACGCATGCATTCACTTGTCAAAAATCAACAATCAACCTTTGCTTTTTATTCAATGGCGCCGAAACGTTCAGTGGATTAACAAAATTGGCGGTTCAATTCATTCGATGGCTAACTCTTCTCATCAATTCTAAAATGTACATGTACGTTTCAATAACGGGGGAGGGGGCGCTCTGCAATATTGATTTATACAACTTTAGAATATAAATTCTATACTCTAACCAAATTTGATAACATTTAAAATATTATTGTTTTGTTTTATAGCATTCTTATAATTCAAGAGATTTTTTTTTTTTTTTTTTTAAAGCGATCTTAAACTGAAACAATTGAATTTTCAGCAGACACTGTCAAAGTCAGATTTATAGTCTAATAAATGACTATTATACTCAACTTCATTCTGAACCTCGCAATCTCTCCTCGTTGAGCTGAAACTGCTGTTTAATAAACTGACAGCGTCAATGACATCAAAATCCTGTCCAGAATTGATGCTTGTCTCTGTATGTTGTTTTTAAGGAATATCTCTTTTAGAAGTTGAACTTGAAAATAAAACTCTGTAATCTAAACATGCCAAAGACACAAAACAACCTGCGATTCTTTGTAACGAACGTCGCATTAATCGAACATTCCCTGGTTTTGGCCCCACCCTACCCCCGGGGGTCATGATTTGAATAAATTTGAATCTACACTACCTGAGGATGATTCCACATGAGTTTCATCTTTTCTGGCCCAGTGGTTCTTGAGAAGAAGATTTTTAAAAATGCCTTTAATTTTTCACTAATTCATAATTATCTCCCCTTGGAAGAGGGCACGTTGCCCTTCATTGAACAAACTTGAATCCCCTTCACCCAAGGATACTTTGTGCCAAGTTTGGTTGAAATTGGCCCAGTGGTTCTTGAGAAGAAGATGAAAATGTGAGAAGTTTACAACAACGACAGACAACGGAAAAATTTTTATCAGAAAAGCTCACTTGAGCCTTCGGCTCAGGTGAGCTAAAAAGCCCAGTATCAGACAATTGTTTTTAAACAACTGCTTTCAAATAAATACTATATGTATATATTTTCATGCAAAATGTAACATAGTGGATTATGACTGAGAGAGTATATGTCTCATTCATTGTTCATATAAAAATATTAAAAGCAATTGTAAGCAGAGATTCTGGTGTATTTGGTTTTTGCCCTTTTAATTTGTCTACACTACATTTTTGGTACATCACTAAAAGTGAAGGGGGGGGGGGGACCAGGCTTTCAGTTAACATTTCCTAAAGTATTTATATAAGTAAGGTTGGGAAAAAATTGAGGGGCAGCCCCCCCCCCCCCCCCCTGTTGCTACGCCCCTGACTGAGTCCTTACTTTTGGTACCAACATATTTGACCTTTAACCTTGGTAATAACTTCTGAACAGTTGGTGCTACACATGTACATTTGTATATTCACTGTGGCAAGGCCTTTCCATAGATATATTTTTTTAAAAACTTTTGACCTTGAACATGTTGAACCTTAGAGTTTGACCCCATTTTAAAAACTTAAATCTTTTAACTTCTGAACAGTTAGTACAAGGGCTTTCAAATATCATAGTAACATTCTTAGTACAAGACCCTCCTTTGTATTCCAATAATTTGACCTTTACCTTGTATAAATAATATGTGAACTACCTTTTTTTCCTAGTTTTTCTTGAAACTGGCTCATTTGATTGTCCTCGTTTTTTCCCAGCATCCCTTCTACTGTTGTTATTTAGAGCTTTGGGAGGTGTATACTGAAAAATACAAATAAATATACACATATGTGGCAAAAGTGATGCTCTCAGAAAGTAAAAAAAAAAAAATCAGTGTAGCTGCAGAACTTTAGCATTATGGTTTTATTGTTTAGTCTTTGACCAGAAATATTAAACTTTACGCATGATTATGCTACAGTTTTGCAGCTACATTCAGTCACGCTTAGAGAAAAATACTATAAAATCACATATTTTCATGTGTGCAAATTTTCAAGGTTTGAGAAAAAGAAATTGATTTGTGGATATTTGATTTTGTGGTTGAAGAAGTATTGAGCAGCAATGCATATCAAGTTTTACATTTTGTTGTGGTCATGAAATTGTGGGTCTCTCCTTACCTCAAAAACACTGAAAATAAACCCCAGACAAAAATCTGTGATTTCACAGTACAGTACCTGAAAGCATGTGTCTGTTGTATTTCAGTCACTTCTCTTGCATTACAAGATATCCATTTTATTTGTACAAAAACAAAAGGAAATGGAAAAAATTCATTCTATATTCTATTAAGATCAGCAATTTTACTGAAAAGAAATTTTCAAAGCATATTGTAAACTGGTTTCTGTAAATTCTATTCACCACAGTTTTATCCTACAGGGTGAAACGTTCTGATTATGGATATTTTGATTACTGAAGTTCAACTGTATTTCATACTTAGCGATCAACAAAGGGTGCAATAAACTGGAATTCATTATTTTTGGTTTGAAATGTGTGCACAAATACATGTTATAATTTTTGGTTAAACACTATTTGCTCATACATACCCATACCCCAGGTTCCCTAATTCCTGGACTTTTTCCATCTCTTGGACAAGCTAATTCCGGAAGAATTGCTTTGTCATAAAAGGCTTTCAACTTTGGCAACATCATATTCCATAGCTGTTCATTTCTGGGTATTCTCTGTACAAACAGATGATAGGGATTCAAAGTTCTCACAACAAAATCAATCCAATCAGTCCCACATATGTTCATGAGTCCTTGACACTGATAATAATAATCATGGTTCTCTTTCAAAAACAACTTTCCATTTCTGTTTTGAAGACAGAAAGAAGTAATTTTGTCTGCTGCTTCAAAAAGGTTCAAAGGCTTATTATGTATTAAATTCTTTATCTCTATCAGACCTTTCTCCCCGTTCGCAGTATACACAATACCATCTGGGCTTCCTGCAAGAAAATTGTGGTTATGATCAATAACTAATCCTGATTCTTGAACAGTAACATTTTCATTTTCTTCAGCCTTTTTCAGTTTATATTCTTCAATTGTAGATCTTTCTTGCAGTAATCCATTTCTAGTATGTCTGTTTCCTTTGAAATTTGAGTAGAGCAGGGAATGCACTAACTTATTTACAGGAATAGAGGGTTTACGTCGAAAAACCTTTCCAAAATTTGAGGCTGTGATTCTTTTAGTTCTCTCTAAATGCCAAAGTCCAGAAGTTGATTGTTGTAATGTGGAATTTTGAATTTGATGAATCTGAGTGGAAGAGACAAGGACATGTTTGGTGAGGAATTCTTGTTTTTTGGCCACTAATTCTGAATCTGTCACATCCTCACAAACCTCAGTAGCCTTCTCTCCATAAGCTCTCTTCGCTTTATTGGTGGTACTCTGCTTGAGACTCCGTATTTTCTTCAGAAAACGGTTTTTCTTTGTTTGTGGTTTCTTTTGGTGCTCTTTACTTTGTGCCAACTTAGCTTCCTGCCTTTGAAAAACTTTAGTAAAGAATGATCCAGGCTGTGTTGCCGTTGATTGCCTCCAAACAACTGGTGACCACTGTGGTCCATAATTCATGCGTAAGCCCCCTCCATAACATCTCACATGCCATGAGGCTCTTTGGCAAAGATTGTGAATCTTTCCACCATCAAATTTAGACCTGATGTGCATCCAAGACTCTGCAATATTAGTTGTTGCATTTCCAATCAAGCGCTCAGCCTTTTCTGCAATCCTCCTCAACAACAGGGAAACATCCTGAATAATGAATTGCTCAACATTTTGAAAGTCGAAGCTACCATAACGAGACTTTTCCATGTCCTCAGCACTTGTCCCGTCTTCCCAAAACTGAACTTGTTCATCAAAAATATTCATGAAGTTTGAATCATTATCAATGGTGTTAGTTTCATTGACTTCAATATTGGTTTGTGAAGAATTGGCAGATGTCATTTTGCAGAAATCGGAACATTTTGAGTGATTGCCAAAAATATGGTGTACTGAGTTTATAATATCATGTTTAAGCTGTAAGACAGCAGCGTTCGGTGAAAGTTCCTTGTTTTCCTTTTGTTTTCCTCTCACTCGAACTGCTGAAACTAACTGGATTCTTACTTTCTTAGTAAGATTGTGCTTGCCTTTGTAAAGAGGATTATCTGTCACTAGCTTCTCTAGGTTTGATCTATAACACTTACAAACATGGTTTGCACACTCCTCTTTCTCAACAGCCCTTCCCCAAAGAGGCACCTCTTCCCTAATCTTGGCAAAAACAGATGAGTCTCCATCACCTATGATGCGCATATACCGCAATCCATGTTTACCCTCTGCTTGCTTAAAACCATCCACAATTATGTCACTCTCCATAGACTGACTATCTGAGTCCCAGTTCTTAAAACAGTCATGTTGTTTTGGATCTGTTAGCTTGTTCTTGGCTGTTTGGCACACAAAACAATACTTATTCCTTACCCCTATATGTAGCAACTTTCCTGTTTCTTTCCCAATAATGATAGCTACACCACCAAGGGCATTATAGCTATGTTTGTGTGTACGTTTGGACCAGCCACCATCTGTTATCACAGTTATTGCAGGGACCTCTTGATGGTAATCCCCCCTCTCTATTGCTAGGCTGCGCTCCTGTGCCCCAGCTTCTAAAATATTGCTCTCAAGAGCCGAAAGCCACCAGTCCCCAATCTCCTTTTCAATTGAAGTAAACGAAGTAGATGATAGGCCAGGAGAGTTCATGGTACCGAGCATTTCATTTAGATGGGATGGCCCATTACCAGTCGACATGCTCCCCCATACTGCACGGACATTTATGTCAAATCTAAAATCACAAATTTACATCTCCTATTTTTCTTTATTCAATAAATTGTTTATGGCGATTAGTTTCATACCAGAGAAACCGGTGGGGACTATAGATTTCCTTGGTGTCTGACCATCTCTGTCTCTTTGTCAGTCTGTCCCACTTTGTTTTCTGCATACTTGCAGATAATGAGATGATTTTTGGTAAGTAAATGTATGCTGATGAGTAAAAGATCAAGTTTGCATTTGTTCCACTTCAATGATTTTTGACTGAATTATGACCTTTTTAATTTTTTAGTTTTCAGCAATACTAGTCCCCTACCAGTAAGTGTAATCTGGTTCCCATTAAAAATTGAAAATGCAGTATTTCTTTCCAAATTCATTGAGTTACAATGAAATGCAAACTTGATCTTTAACCCATCAAGGAAAAGTCACATACCAAAAATCAGGTCATTATCTGCAAGCGTTAAGAAAAAGAAGAAGTCTGCGACCAAATGCTCACTTTTAATACTCCTGCTCTGATGTGATTATGCCCCCTCATGTTGACAATGAATTCATACAAAAATGAAACCCATAATATGACAGGCCTCAAAAGAGAGTGCTAAAATTTCAGGCATCTTCAGTGAGTAGTTGTTGAGATAACTGTGACAGAAATTTAGTACAGATAGACGCATGGATAAACAGGAAGTTGATATCAGATTCAAACAAAAATGAACCCCATATGGCATGCCTACACAGAGAATGTGATAAAATTTCAAGTATCTGTGATGAGAACTTGGTGAGAAAACTGCAATGAAAATGTGTTATGGACAAACAGACGGACACAAAAGGCTAAAGCAGTATACCCCCACTCCAAAAGGAACAGGGGTATAACAAGAGGCCCATGGGCTACATCACTCACCTGAGAAGCTTTAACCATGCAGATTTCCCCCTTGTAATACCTACTGTGACCCCATCATACCCCAAGGGACTTAATTTGGACAATTCAAATTCCCTATTGTGGCCCTGCCCAACCCCAGGGGGTCCTGATTTGAACAATTTAGAATTTACACTACCCCAGGATGCTTTCACATAACAGTGGCAGTGGTTCTTGAGAAGAAGATTTTTTTAATGACCCCATTCTATTTTTGTCTTTTATTAATTATCTTCCCTTGTGAGAGGACCTGCTGGCCCCTCATTTTAACAATTTAAAGTCCCCTTCACCCAAGTATTCTTTGTTCCAAGTTTGATTAAAATTGGCTAAGAGATTCTTCAGAAGAAATAGAAAATGTGAAAAGTTTACAGACAGACAGCTAGATGGATGGATGACAGACAAAATGATTAGAAAATCTTCGGCTCAGGTGAGCTAAAAAGTGTGGAAAACTAAGTGGGAAAGACTTTCAAAGGGACACTAAGAGAGAGGGGGATGGACAGCAGACAGACAGACGCCCAGGAAACATTCCCGTCCAGGTTTAACCAAAAGCGGACTAATAAAGTTTTCTCTTATAGAAATAACTCTCCTGAACTCATTGTATGAATAAATATAAATTTGTGGTACATGTACATGTTTATTATCTGCACAGGACCTTTTACATGGATTGGCAAAGAACCTGTGTTGTGCAGTGGTTATAGAGAATCTGCTCTGGAGATGTGGAAGAGTAAGGAACTGATCCTTATGTGTCTGGCTTGAATCCACTGCATGACATGCAGACAAGTCCTTCATATGAGACAGTATAAATGTAGGTCTAGTCTTGCAAATATTTTTTTGGCACGAAAAAGATCCTTCACAGCTCAATTGCTTGAGTGTCAAGTATAGGTATAAATTTGTAGCTCTACACCGGCAAGTGGTGGCATCTCCATATAAGTGAAAAACTCTGGAGACAGATTCTGAAGTTAAACAACAAATTCGCATTCAAAGAACCCTTATCATATGGATTGTAAAAGTTGTCTTAGCTTATCTTTGACAAAGCTAGAATCCCAAGAGCTTCAATGCTCACCTGATTCCTCTTGATTGTTATAAATATTTCTTTAAAATCTAAAGACAAATTTTGACACCATGTTATGGTCCTAACTTAGCCTTATCTCTTATCCAAACTTCAATCTACACTACATATGCATTATGAATAGCAGAATGGTTTAATATGCGCCAGTATGTGGCCTTGCTATTCTGAAGAATATGACAAAAAGCATGTACTATTTTATCCCTGATATTATCCCCATCCCATATCAAGTATTCAGTAGAAAAAAAATCACAAATTCACAAAATGTGCATATGATATGGGAATGATTACATATCAATATGCTTTCTTGTTGAACCCTAAAGTTCTCATTTTTTCTTTAAAATATTCTCTATATTCCCATGTAATTAAAAAACAAGATTTGTTTGTGAAACACTATGCACCCGGCGGCAACAAAGTTCAAAAAATCTATTTTTAGCATATTGGTCACAGGCAAGGTCACAAGGTCATTGACCTTGGTGTCATTTGAAAGAACTTAATCGGTGGAGTATGCATACCAAATATGAATTTCCTATCTCCTATGGTTCAAAAGTTATGGTAAAAAGTGTAAAAAGCTATTTTTAGCATATAGGTCACAGTCAAGGTCCCAAGGTCATTGACATTGATGTCATTTGAAAGGACTTTATTAATGGAGTAAGTATACTAAATATGAAGTCCCTATCTCCTATGGTTCAACAGTGGAAAAAACTATTTTTAGCATATATGTCACAGTCAAGGTCACAAGGTCATTGAACTTGATGTCATTTGAAAGGACTTTATTAGTGGAGTATGTATACCAAATATGAAGTCTGTATCTCTTATGGTTCAAAAGTTATGGCGAAGGTTAAAGTTGACAACAGACAGAAAGACAAACAGACAAACAGATAAACAGATAAACAGACAAACAGACAGGACAAAAACAATATACGCCCGGGATCTATCGATCCGGGCGCATAAAAAGAACTTTCCAACCTCCATTTCCATGATTTCTTTCAAATATGAATTAGTATAATAATATGATGTTTTCACACAACTAGATGTTTCAGTGCTTTTTGTGAGAAGAGGACTTTAAGGAAATCTTATAATCCATGTGAATATTTCATTTCCTGTAACTATCTAAATCTCAAAAAGTTACAAAATTTGAATATGCACTGAATGTGAATGCTTGATTAATGACATAAATGATCTTAGAGCACCATATAGAATATATAGACCCTATTTTCTACTGTCATATCAAAAAGTAAGCCAAAAAACAATAGTCTTGTTTCCTGATACCAGCCTGAAAAAAATAGGGTAGGTAGGTAGGAAAATTATTTATTTTTTCATTTATTTTATTTTTTCCAATGGTATTTTTGGGATATGAACAACTACAAAAACAAATTAAACATGTCATAGCTAGGTAACATCATCTTTAAATGAAATTCCATATCTTTTGATGCATAACTCAAGTGGACTTTTATTAAAGTCCATATTTTAATTATATATTTCATGAAATAAAATTTGAATGTATATTTTTTTTCAATTTTGGAACATAAAATTCCTGCAATTTCCATTTTTTCCCCAAAAGATTAAAAAAAAAAACTTAAGGATCGGGTGCAAAAAAAAAAGTATGGTAGGTTGGGTAGCAGGAAACAAGACTATTTTTTTGAGGGAGGGGGTTAAAGGATGCATGATGTAAATCTGTGGATTGGTATTCACATCCCTAATAATTGTGTTATTTTACTTGAACACTTGTAAATACCACGGTGGTTTTATAGTTCCATCAGAATTGACCCATTACCTCCTAATCTTGTGTGAGGCTGTACTGATGTAGCAAGATATTATTTGTTACCAATTCTTAGCTGGGGGGGGGGGTGAAATTAAAGTAGATTTTTTCAGAGGTAAAGCAAGCTTCAAAAGGTAAAACTTTAAAATAATATGATTTTTCTTGGCATTGTGGGTTCCCTTTTGACCTTTCTAAATTTCATAATGCTGTATATACACTGTTACCTCTTTGAACCTGGAATGCGAGGACTTGTTTCAAACTTAAACTGTTTTTTACATCCATTGCACTGCACAGCAAATACACTTGCTAGGCCAAGGCTTCTGCTCTCTGTCAGTACACTAATTGGTGATTTACCATTTGATCCAAGGGCAATAGCATCACTACACAGACATGCATGTAGTGTAATTTCATTCACATGATTTTGCAAGCTTGTCAGGTTGACAAGACGGTATCCATCAGGACAAACATTTTTTACTTTCTTTATTTGAAGTCTTATGGTGTGGTTGTCACTTACTACTTTTGAAATATATGAAAACTTTTGACGTGTTGCACCTGAAAGTTTTTGGCTAGTACCAACTGAAAGTTTTGTCCATAACTTTTGAATTCTGATTTTAAGATTTCGTCCAGTTGTCTTATAAAGCTTCAAAATATACTTTGGTCTTCCAAGGTGTTTTTCCTTCCTACACCTCTGATGAATACCTTTTCCTTTACCAAATACGTGCGATGTTTTCGTCTTGCTCTCCATGCTTACAACATGCACACATTTATTTCCCTTCCGATATTCCATACGAATTCGTTCCATAATTGACATTAAATAAAATTTAATATTCAATATCTTTAATTTGTGCACACATTTCATACCTTTATATGCATTTTAAAATACGAAAAAATAAAAAATAGATGAGTATTATTACATAAAATACTCTGATATACAAACATACACACACAGTGCTCGAAACCATGTGTTGACCATGAGCGGTCAATATTATAAACCATGATCCTGGAAAGTTTACACTTGTGATTTCCGACAAACACAGTTTAAACACTTCAATTTACTAAATGTAAGATAAGAAAAGAAGCCACTACCTTATACTGACATTATTCCACTGGAAATCTGCAAAGTTTACATCAGTGAGATGAGAGATCAACCTCTTTTCCTTTAACCGGAAGTTCTTTCACCTGAAAATGTTATTTTCGTATCTTTGTTGAAAGCCAAATTGAATTATAAATTTGTATTCTCCTAATACAATTAACTATATTCAATATGTTTTAATTAATCTAAATGAAATTCAAACCTGAATATTTTCAATGCGTGTGGTGGGAATCTGCGGATGAATTTATTCTACTTTCACTTTTGAGAACATGCTGGAATGTTGGACCTAGGTGAGTTTTCAGACGGAATCTAAACAAAATCTTGTTGTTAAAACATGATCAGTTTAAGTTGCCTTTTCCTTAAGCAATAGAGAGTCAGGATTTAGCCCATCTGACACGTCATTCTTCCTCTGATTACCTAAATACTCTGATACCCCCGTTTCAAATTCTTCTCAAAATGGCGTGACTTTTACATGAGGGTTGATGTTTATTTTTACAGCCTACTTAGCTGTCAGTCATTTTTCACAAAAAAATCACCCAACTTGACCTAAAAAATTGGCTAATTTCGATTATGGCAAATATGAGAGCCTTCTACGAAATAAATGCAAGCTTCTGTATTTTTTCAAAATTAATGCACTATTTTCTGCATATGTATTTTCTTTATTTCTCTAAATTTCACGTTTAAGTAAGTATTCAGTTTGAAATAGCTTTAAATAATCTTATTGATTTGATAGTTTCAGAATTTTTAGTAAGATGGTTCTTGAAAAAACTGGTCAAATGTATTCTATATCATTTTGCAGTTTGACGTTAACTGTCTTGGCCCAAATTGCATATTATTGTTATCGATATATTTCCAAAATTTTACTATTGTACGCGTCAAACTCATCTTTCCTCAACCGTAACTTGAATATTCATTAGTGTCGTGTGTTTTCGTCCGTGTTGCTTCCACCAATTGTCCTGTATGGAAAGCCATTGGCGCCAAAAGCAACTTTCCAACAGACCCTTGATTTATAGATGTGCCACAGTTTCCAGAAACATCATCGCTCACAAGCAGTTTATAATTGGTAAAGTAAATATATAAATAGGGAAAGATTGCCTGTACGTTGGTCCTTTCGTCGAAATGTCACATAAGAACAGAACGTGTTTGATTGACACATCGTTTGTACTTTTACAAAATATATAATAAAAAAAATAAAATATAAAATGTTTAAATATATTAGAAACAGTAGAAATTTTAATTGTGTGCAGTGTATGGTGATGAAAAAATTAAAAATATAATCCAGAAAATTCTTAGTTGAAATGTGAAAAAGCAAAACCAATTCACAAGTATTGTCAGTCCGTGCTCGGTTATACATGTATGTGCAGTGTTACAAATTGAAACATCCCGCGAAAAGTAATCAACTCGTGCCTTTTTTATAAAACCAGTTTACGTTTCACGCCGAATCACGGGTTCAATATGTTATTATGCACACATCACTTAGCACGGATTAAAATTATTGGTGAATCGCCTTTTCTTTTTCACATTTCCACTCTGAATTTTCTGGATTAAATTTTAAATACGCAACAAAATTTCTGCTCTTCTTAAGTATTTAGAAAAAAGTTTATTTTGTTGAAATGTACATGATGACATTTCATAATCAAACACTTCTCGAAATTCAAATTTGCAAAGATAAAATTGGATTTTCATTACATTCAATTTCAATTACATAACATGAAATTACATTTCCATGTAAAATGCTATAGCAACATATAAGTCATGATATTAAACCGAAAATTTGAGAAAAAAAAAAAATTAACATCAATCTGTGTCCAGATACCTTTAAAGACACTTGATTTTTCACCAACCATCTCCGTCATATTCTCTAAAACAGTGAAAAGTCCTTTTAAGGATACTATAAGAACATCGTATGTGAAAAACAAGAGATTCTGAATTCCCCATAATATGCAGAATTAATCAGAGCTGTCGAGTCCGATCGTGAATGGTAGAGAAGAAGTCGCGACCATAGACTCTCTGGCAGTCCCACATAATAAAATGGCGGTTTTTATATGGCTTTTCCCATGCGACTCCAAAAACATCTGTCTGAGGGTAACGAAGAACTGGATTAGTACAATTTTTAAATTTGGTTTATGTGTAATTGTTCTACTATATCTTACTTATAAATTATTAAAAATAAATATTTATATCATGTATATTGTAGACTATTATTTTACTATAAACCGTCCATATCTAGATGTTTTTCTGCATTCGTGTCATAAGTCCGAAAAATCTTACGTTTTCCTAGCTTATTTACGATTTTGATATTTCACATGCCAGGAGAACTGGCATGTAAAATATCTAAATCGTAAAAAAGCCAGAAAAACTGGCATGTAAAATATCAAAATTGTAAAAGAAAAAAAAAAAAGCCAGGAAAATGTCAGATTTTCGGACTAACGTATCATTACCCCCCCCCCCCAATTGATTACACGTATTGAAAAAAGTTTTATCCTAAACCCTAAACTATATATTTGTAAATTTTCAACTGATTTCCATCTGTGTGTCTGGTTATTTTTTAACTTATACACAAAATGTATTATTTTTTAAAACGCTGCAGAGTATTTCATTACAAACAGCTCGGTGAATGCTGTTTAAAAGTGTCCTCTACAAAAATTAAATTTTTCATTTAAAATTTGTATATTTCAATTAATTGTCACCTCTACGAAAAGCAGATTTTTTTCCGATTAAAATCAATTTATTTGTTAATTGAAAATTTCATGTTTTGTAGAGGACATACAATGTATGTACATGTACATAATGATCGATACAATATGTCACTTGGATTTTAATCACATCATCTGAAAAAAATATTATTTTCATATTTGTTCTAATTTGTCGACAAAAACTGATTAATAGTATACGAGTCTCATAAAACAAAATATTAATTCGCATGTATTTTTTAAAAATTTATTTTATTTATGCATTGCACCAACACGTTCAAAGGGAGGTAAACCTTTATCTAAATTTTGTGTGCATTTAGCAGTCTTGAAATTCCGTTATTTATATCTTGAGAAAGATTCACTTCTACAAAGATCTATGGACATCGTGTACAAAAATCAGTTGAGATTCCCGGATTTTCAATTTAATATTGAAAAGATCGACATCAAAGATCATTCGGAAATAATTCTTAAATCAATAACCCCATTTGATGATATTAAAATAACATAAAATAGAAAGAAATTTTAATCATAGAACACATATTTTCCATGGGATACAAGTAAAATGATTACATTGTTCATTAGATGTATCAAATTAATTTCATTTAAATTTTCAAAGTCCGAAAATTTCAAGTTTAGATAAAATAATTGCAACGTGATTCCAATCATGAAAATTTTTCGTAATAATATTCATTTTAAGAGGATTCGAATAATATTTACATGTGTATGCGTGAAGTGTGAAGATGAGGCGTTCGCGTCCCCCCCCCCCCCCCCCCCCCCCACCACCACCCCACCCCCGTTACATTGTAGGGACACTTATGTATTATGATCTATATAATATAAAAGTGAAATTGCTGACGGATTAAGAAGGGACAGAGGGCCCGAGTCATTAACATGAACATTAAATTAAATACATGTAGATCAATTTTTTGTTGTGGACCCCAACCGCATACTTTTTTTTTCCAAGATTCCTGAATCCGCCACATTGAATAGCTATGTTTTCTTTAGTAGACAGTCAGAATTAGTGAGCGAGTAAGAGTTTAAGCTGTATCTAGGTCTTTTTCTTTCTATTTATCTATATTTAAGAATACTTAGAATTAAACCATTGATTCTGCATGTTCTGTTATGATTTATATTATTTTACATGTTTAACATACACATATGTAATGCATGGTCTAAAAGATTACCTGACTTTATTCTGAACAGGTTGTTATTTAGACCCTTATTAGATCTGGATGAGCGGTTGTCTTATTTAATGGCAAATACATGTATATTGCATTATGCAAATGAATACGCAAGATAAACATTTTCTACAATGTCACCGTTCAATCCCGTATTAATTTTTTTTAATTCCTATTTATCTATACTCAAGATATATAACAGAGGAAAAACAAAATCCTTCAGATGATATTTATACAAATGCTATATATTGCTAAAATGATTTAAACCTCCTAGCTTATAGTACAACGTTATGATTTTGTTCTCTCGTGATAAAATATCTCCAATACAACACAGAAATGTTAAAGGTGTTAATATTTTAATTCATCGTACATATAATATATTAATGTCGCAAACGTAGGAAATCTGTTACAGATAGCGAGATCAATTTGGCACGGTGTGTACCCGTACAAGAGACTTAACAAACCATAAAACATCATCTTCGCGACAGACATTTCGTACAATTATCACAATGAATGGAATGTTTGAACATCAGCTGTCCAGGGTCTTCATGGAAGTGTGCATGGGGGAGGAACACAATCTTGAGTCACTATTGCGAAGTTTATATTTCTCACGTGCTTTCTTGTACGTCTGTTTATTTACAACACAGCACGTGGAAGTGTCGTCTGCTGATAATATATCCGGGGAAATCCCAGTCAAGGACACGTTTGGTTCAAACTCAGATGAGCTGTAAGTTACACAGCCGCTGTAACTGATGTCTGCGTCATCGTCCCACCGCGTGTCGTCTGGAACTTCAACGTCCACTTCCTCTCCAGGTGATGTCACTTCCGCTTGAAGCACATTATGACATGCTTCAATGCCTTGTAACCAGTTTTGACATTTCCTAGTCGTTGCTTCCATCACTATGGTTTCATCGTACACTTTACACAAACCGAGCTCCTCGGGATTAGCGTCCGCGAGGGACACAGTCAAGTCATCATTCGGAATATCCTTTTCAATGCACGCCTGACTCCTGGTACGGTGGAGTTTAGGGCGGGGTCTTTTTGTGGATTTTCCTGGTCGCACACCAGGATGAGTTTGACTACTGGGGGAGTGTTTAGACCCCCCTCCACCCTCATCTGATGATGATCTAAGATCAAGCCAGCATGGCGGTTTAGGGGGTTTTGTGATACCAAGTACAGACAGCGATAATCCAGGACCACTAGCTTTTGCTGGGTTCCTCAGCATTTTAAACATATTTTAACATCCATGATGTTTCAAGTAAATAACAATCCTATATATATCCAGAATACTATTTATCACGGTAAAGACTCACTAATCCGGAATTCACAGAAACTTCTCATTGAAAAACATAACACTACACACAATGCCATAATTTCTTCCCACCATCTTTTTTTTTTGT